GCGCGGGCGAAGGCGTGGGCGGCGGGCGGGCGGCCATGGGAGGAGGGGCGGGGGCGCCGCGGGGGCCGGCGCTTGACCCGGCGGCGCTGGAAGCTGCCAGGGAGCTGGAGGAGCTGGCCAGCAAGCTGGCGGAGGTGAGGGGTGCCTTGAACCAGGGGGAGCAGGCTGTTTGGCAAGCAAGGCTTGCGTTATTATTGGCAGTGGATGATGGGAAGCTTCCTTGCGCAGGGTGCAGCCTGCATGGGCTGCACCTGAGCATCGCGCAACTGCTTGGTTTCCTGCTGCAGAGGGGCCGCGGCGCGGGCAAGCGCCGGTTCGTATGCGGGGCGCCCGTGACGAAGATTGCCCTCCCTCGACATGCGTCGCTCCCATGCATACATCGCCACATTTGCAGATTTTCGGCGGGCCTCAGCAGCAGCAGCAGCCAGAGAGCACCCAGCCACACCGGCAGCAGCAGCAGCAGCAGCAGCAGCAGCAGCAGCAGCAGCAGCAGCAGCAGCAGGCGCCCCCGCTCCTTGACCTCCACCTGGGCTGCATCAGGGCGGTCTACGGCCCAAGAGACAGCGAATTCAAAGATGAAGCCCTGGTGGCCATCGACACAGGTGAGGGGTGGCCTGGAGGCACAATAGGACAAGGGGGCCGGCGGTTAGTAGTAGGTGGGGTAGTGGGCGGAGCGGACACGTGCGCGTGGGCGGCCGGAGAAAATGCCTGTCTTGTGAGCTTGCGGCGGCGGGGCGCTGAGCAGCGGCCGCGTTTGCCGCGCCCCCGCTCCCGCCCCGCAGGCGCCGCGCGCGGCGCGCCGCGCGGCCCGGGCGCAGCCGGCGGCGGCGGGGAGCACCACGGGGTCCACGTGTATGCGGCGCTGGGTCGCGCGCAGCTGGAGGCCCTCGAGGACCTGCCTGGCGGCGACGAGGCGCGCCTGGCTGCCCTTGCAAGGGACAACCTCGTCTCGAGCGGCGGCGGTGGCGGCGGCGGCGGCGGTGAGGGCGGCGGTGAGGCGCTGGGGGCCGGGCGGTCGCTGGCGCGGGGGCGGGGCGCGGCGCTGGTGGCGGCGGTGCAC